GGGGGGGGGGGGGAGGAAGCTGTAAGCCAGGAAGAGATCGTATCGCTGTAATGATATCTGAAATGTCCCAGGCTCATTCAGTGCTGCAACTTTTCCCACATATTTGCATTATACATGTAATAGCTAATAATAACTAACTTCATTTGTATTGATGAGGAATGCAGTGAAGCGAGAAGGTGATGTGTGCAAAAATACAAAAGCATAATCATGTATTGTTTTCCAGGAGCATTTATGGGAGGCATCTCGTTACCTGGTGCGATTGGTGTTCAACGGCTTGAAGGAGATGTTCACAGGGACCAGAGAGATCCAGGTGAGTTTATCGCACCTATTTAAAAAAACACATTTGTTTCTTACTAGTTGCAAAACAGAGCTGACATTCAGTAGAAATATTGTCTCAAAGTACAGTTGTTCTTATTTTTACTAGAATCTATATCCCTCATGCAATAAGTCCCAACACCTTAAAGGGGACCTATTATGCAAAATCCTCTTTTTCATTTTTTTTCTACATCAATACATCATTTGTCCCCTCTGTGTAAAGAGATTCTGAAAGTTTCAAGAAAAAAGATTCGCTCTCTTTTTGTCCTGACCCATTTATGTAAAAACCTGTCTGAAAATGAGCTGATCAGATTAACGCCACTTTATGATGTCATAACGATTTTTTGGCTTGTGTAACCATTAGCCAATCACCAGCCAAGGTAACCCTCCCCCCCACCTTATCACCTGAATCTCCTCCTAGAGCACCATTGTGTTCTTTTTAACCAAATATCTCTCAGAGGGGCGTGGGGAGTGGCTCCTTATTTTCATCTAAAGTAACAGACAGAGAATCAGAACTTTTGAAACAGGGCTGAAGAAACAGAGGGGATTATGGGTAATGCTGCAATGATCTGTTTGGTATTTTGAGGCAAACACTTCAGAGACATGTTTTTAATGTATCTGAGACTTATAATAGATTGATGAAAAACAGTATAATAGGGGACCTTTAAAGTAATAACCATTAGGTGATATAATTAAAGTTTATGTCATGATGCCTGATCATTTGTAATGTATTATTATGGGTCAAATAAAGACAATGGTCGACTAAGACACGTACATGTAATTAATCCAATGATGTTGTCTGTGTAACCTAGAGACTTTAGTGTGCATCAGATCAGCTAAAAATGCGAACTCTGAAAATTGGTTGACTGATAAATAAAAGGTTCAAGATGAAGAATAAAGTTTCAAATAATAAAATCAAATCAAATGTAGGTTAAAAACAAATAAATGTTTCTGCAAACAATTGCTCTGTACAGTATAAACCCAGATTATCTGACTAAATATTTGTGTAGGATAATAAAAATAACAAAAGACAATTCCTATGTTCCCTGTAATTAAAACAAAATTACGTTTTCCCCCTACGTATCTTATTTGGAAAGACTTAAATATAAAAGCTTTTGTCTACTGACCTACTACTCTATATAAGATGATATTTCATTTTCTAATAATGTCTAGTTTACTTTACCACTACCGTGACTACTGCAGCCATTCATCACAGAGACTCTTTTTATAGATTTAGGATGTGCCCTTGGCGGGGGATACTATATTATCTCCACAGGCAGAGAGGAGTCTGGCAAGCAAATAGAAACACCACCCACGACCATGTTTGTGTCCTCTGGGAAATGAGTGGGGATGGCCCAGTCTGAGATGAAAAATACGCTTCCCATCATGCCTTGGTGCCGACCTAATGCTGTTGTGTGTGTGTGTGTGTAAGTGTCTGAGTGAGTGTGTGCACCTGTTGCTTTCAAACAGGTGACATCCTCTGGGTTTTCAGCAGTGAGTTGAGTTGTGTGTGTGTGTGTGTGTGTGTGTGTGTGTGTGTGTGTGTGTGTGTGTGTGTGTGTGTGTGTGAGTGAGTGTGTGCACCTGTTGCTTTCAAACAGGTCACATCATCTGGGTTTTCAGCAGTGAGTTGAGTATGAGTGAGAGAGAAGCAGCTCTGTCATCCCTGACCCCTCCTCCCCTGTTTATTTTCCATTTATTCTCCTTCCAACTGTGTCTGTCCACTCCCTCCCTCCCTCCCTCTGCTGCTTATCAATCTATTACTGACTGATCAGTCAATCTCTCCGGCTTCCTCACTATCTAATCTCGCTCTCCCATCTCTTTGCTTCCACACTATCTTCTTTTCGATGTACCTGAGAATAAAAGGAGAGAGGTGATGATGAATGGTGCGGCTTTGGGCCAGACTGCTATCTCGAGTTGTTAGGACAAATATATCTTTCCTACAGCTCTCCATGTGCCTGCATGTGTGAGGAGGCACTTTTGGGGCATTAACAGGGCTTCTATTCCTGGAGATAAACTTTGCCAGACACTTGTGCAAAACTTACGGATATTTATCAACAACTTCTCACTTGTTCCTCTGCAAGTTTGCAACACTTGTTTGCTGTTTCAAGAAGTAGAACAGCAGACATTATGCATCTTTTATGCAGTGTATTTTCTCAATGCTGTTCTCAATGCACCATGATGTTCTTTCTTTTTAAAGCCCGATTAATTACATCCACCTACAAACGGTCCAGACTCACTGATTTGAACCACATAAAACACACTTACACAGGAAATAGACAGGCTCACACTCTTGATTGCTGGCGGGCTTTGATTTTCTGAGTATGTTTCACAATCCAGTATGTGCCCTCAATTTACCTCTGCTTTTGCATCTGTGTGTTGCAGGAATGGCTGACCGAGAGCGCCAGGCTCATCTCCAAGGCTGGCTTCTCTGTGCAGTGGGTGACTCCCCTGGGATTGCCCGTCATTCAGCCCTACCACCGCACACGCCGCCTAGTGGTAGGTCTCTTACGACGGATTATGAAGATACTCTTTACTAGTTTTTCTCAGAGAAGTTGTCGTACTTTTTATTAATCACACGCATCTCTGCTATGTCTAGCTACGTTTGTACCATTGGAATTAGAACAGATGCCAAGTGTAGCAGGGCTTCAAGTCCAAACGTGCACATTACATAGAAAATAAATATAATATTGCACTAGGAAATATTAACAATGGTACGTCATGCAAGACTAATAATAATACAGAAAGTATAAATAAAATAAAAAAGTAAACTAAATAAATATAGAATAAAGCAACTAGTGCACCAGAGGTGTTACGGCCCGTCCACACTACAGCTTCAAAAAAAGCTTGGCGGCGGGCGTGTCTGAAGCTCGACCAACAACCAATCACATGAATCTCCCGCCCCTGACACACAAGCAGCGGTTTGATTGGCTAGAGCTTGTACTGGCATATGATTTGATTGGCTGACGCTTCCACCGAAAGCTTCAGAAGCTTCAAAAGTTGAACATTGCTCAACTTCTGCAGCCTGAAACGCCAGGAAAGCTCCGCTCTGCTACCACACAATTCAGTTCGGCGAAAAGCGAGGCAACGTGACGTCACCCCATTCAAAGTGAATGGGCAGACGCGTTGGAAACCGTTTTTGAAGCTGTCGAAGCTGTAGTGTGGACGGGCCGTTACAGAGTCTCATGCCGGGACATGTCAGGTCATGTTTGATTGGGAGTCCAATCTAGAAACAAGTGGACTTTTCCTGATCAGTTCGACCACTTCAAACCCTCAGACGGTGCCGTTCACCATCGTTTCGTACACCGTAAGTTAGACAGTTTTGCCAATTACACGCCAGTCTTTATTTCTCTGTATTTGATACGTTATGTATTCTCTTTTATCGTTATCTTTTGACACCATGTGTTTTGCTCTTCCTTACTTTTGCTCTCACCTTTCACACCACTCGCAAAACTGACCTTTTATAGCACACGTTGTATCCATGTTTTTGACTCACCTTAGCACACAGTACTCATTTATCCCTCTGTTGGCTTACTGACCACCATCTTATTGCTGATATTGTAATGTGTGTCCAAATTGACCGCTCCTTCCTCCTCTTTTCGTTCTCATATTTCCATGAGGCAGTGAGATGCTATGGGTCATCGCTTTCGCTATTATCATGATCTCAGAGTTTCATTTCCACTTATTAGATTTCATTGGGCTTTGATGGAATTTCTGATGAAGCTGATAATAAATGGCCGGTTAGCTGTGATGCGTTGGTTGACTTTAAATAGACAGGCATATATGATTCAAATGAGTATTTACACTCATACTGTATATATTAAAACTAAGATTAGTGGTTCTTTTTATAGCTGTCATCTTATAACAAGCTGTTATGAGAGCAATCTATCATGCTCACACAGCCTGCCCACAAAGGCTCCACTTATTATGGTCTGGCAAGGCCCAACATGCATTTGCTCAAATTAAGGGAACTGCAAGTGTGCATTTTGATCAGCCTTTTCCAACAGATAGATAATTGACAAGTGCTCTTCACGGCACACACGTTAACAGTACTGGATCCACTGGACTCTGTACATTGTTTAGGATATCATTACATTACATTTCATTTCATTCATCCAAAGCGACTTACAATTACAGGGACATTCTCCCTGGAGTAACTAAGGGCTAAGTGCCTTACTCAAGGGCACACTAGTAGTGGTGTTCCAGGCGGGATTTGAACTCACAACCTTCCGGTCTTCAGCCCACCTCACTATCCATTAGACCACCACCACCAGTATAACTCATTTGGTTGTAGCTCTTTGACAGAATGGCAGCCTGCCAGGGCTCCGTGAATTTATTTCCTAGACAAATACCTCAAACAAAAAGTGAGCCTGCGAGACTCACTGCAGTTTGGCTTTTATGTTAGTGTGTCCTCAACCCATCCCTTTGTGTTGGACTCAAACTATTTTTGGCTAAAACCAAAGTTATTCACAAAGTGTTGTTGGTGTTTGCTCTTTTAGTTCAGAACAATAGTCCACTCTCTTTATTGCCCTCCCTCAGTCTCTTTTCAATTTCTTTTTCCAAACGTCCTAAAATAATTATTGTTTCACTCTTATTATACGCAAGACATGCACCTTATCATGAGTATTGTCCTGGATGCTGGGCTTTCACCACTGATGGTGTGATGTGATTGCTGTGAGTGGCCCAACTTTGAAGGAGCTAAAAAACATCACTAAAGTTCTCCGTCACTGTGGAAGTCCTGACAGCAGCATGTCTTAAAGATAACACATCTGAGTACAGATAACATGCTTGTGTGTGTGTGTGAATGCCTGTCAACGCTTTTGTGCCGGTTAGCGTGTTCGGAAAAATGTTCATGTCCCATAGAGATGGGAGGAATTCCAGTCAAACATTATCTGTGTTTATTATGGAGCCTCAAAACAATTGATAGGAAGGCTATATAAAGAATGATATCATCAAGCCATGTTGATTGTTGTTTGGCTGAAAAGTAGTCTATTTCTATCTGGAACAGTCCCGTCAATAGACTTGTGAATAAAACATCAAAAATACGTTTATATTATCAGAATCCTTCATTTGTCCTGCAGTAGGCAAAGATACAGCTTCACTGCAGCAAAGAAACAGTGCAGACTACAGGCATAAAGGAAATGACTAGACATATCAATTAAAGAAAAAGGCAAGCACACATTATTAAAGCAATATTTAAACAAATATGCGAGAAACAAGAAATTACCCAAGCCTACGCCCTTAACTTAAAGTGTTTCTCCCATTTAAGTGTGTGTGTGTGTGTGTGTGTGTGTGTGTGTGTGTGTGTGTGTGTGTGTGTGTGTGTGTGTGTGTGTGTGTGTGTGTGTGTGTGTGTGTGTGTGTGTGTGTAAAGAGAAATCCTACATAAGTCTGTCATTATATAAAATCCTATTCGACCTCCTTATCCTTAAGTCCATTAACTAAGTGAAAGGAGGAAACAGACACAGCGTAAACAAAGCTCATGCAGACAGCTAGCTCATAGGCTGGCTCCACATGCCACTTGCTCTTTTAGCATGACATGAAGCAGAAGGTGGCTTAGAGGGGGATTGACACCATATCAGAAAGTGCAAGAGAGCAAGGGTGACAGATGGTGGGTGCCCTGAGGCTGCATCTCTCTCTGTCCCATTGTTAATTTCGTCAACGAAAACTATGACGAAAAATGTTCGTCAACAACCTTTTTTACATGACTAAGACGAGACGATGACGAGCTAAAAATAGATTCTTGATAACGAAAACTATGACGAAATGTATATTTAGTTTTCGTTGACCAGACGAGACGGGACTAAGATGTTAATGGTGGACTATCGGACATTCAAAATGCAGCATTTTTTCCAAGTGTCCATCTTGTCTGTCAAAATGCATCTTACGTTTCTAACTTGCAATATCATTATTTCCGCTCTCTTCACTCCAGAAGAGCGATGTCCCTGTGTCTCTCTGTGTGCGGGGGGCGGGGCCTAACATACATGCTGCAGCGGACACAGAGATCTGCCGGGGACGGAGCGTTCAGAGAGTATAGATACACATTTTGACTAAAATGTAATTTTTCATCGACCAAAAGTTGACTAAAACGTTTTGAGTTTTCGTCGACTAAAACTAGACTAAAACTACGAAGGATAGGAATGACTCAAATGTGACTAAAACTAATAACCATTTTCGTCTAAAGACTAAGACTAAGACTAAATAAAAAAACAGCAGCCAAAATTAACACTGCTCTGTCCATGAAGTAGAACTCTGATTGGATCTGTTTCTTTTAATGTCCAGCAGGGGAAAGGAAGCTGATTAGCCTGTGAGTTTTTTCCAAGGCCTAAAGATGAATAAATGAATGAAGCGACGACTTGATGGACCATCAAGGTCTTATTTCAGAGATCACTTTTTTCATCCCCTGCATTCATTCTTTAATCCAGTTGCATCATTGAGCACCAGAAATGAAACTTGCAGAAAGGTCACCTTTCCAGTCATGGCTGGATTCAATTCAATCTCCCCGTCTCCTCTCTGCCTCTTAAATCCGAGGCTGCGGTGTTTTTTGGGGGTCGTTAATAATTACTCTAGATAGAACAGGAAGATGAAGTGTGAGGCTGTGAAGAGAACAAGCTACAATAGCATCCATTCACAAAGGAGTGTGTGTGCAGTGTGTTGCTTCTTTTCAGTGTGCATACAGAGGAGAGTACAAATGCAGAGCAGTGTAATCGAGTAGTTTCCATGGCTGATGGGAGGTGAGGAAATTAGAGTTGATGGAGTAGCTGAATGGAGCACAAACACATACATCAGGGAGGCTGCTTAACGGGATTGAGAGATACTAATCGAATCAGAGGTCACTCTGGCTCAGATTCCTCCTTTAGTTTTCATTTTCCACTCTCATGCAAGGTTACAATGAAATCTCACTTTCAGGGGATGGAGACACGAGGGAGCTCTCAGCTGGATTGGCTGGATTTGTGAGTGTATTGTGTGACTAAAAGCTGGGTGTCCTCTGTGTGGAAAGAGAGGATTTGGTTATTTCCCTGGACGTTAACGCATTGTGCACATTTATTTTGAATACAGTTGAAAAAGCAATACTAAAAAATCCACTGTCATCATCAATCAATAGATTAGTATAATGTAGTATGAGCCTCTGGAATTAATGAAAATGTTTAAACATCATGTACAGACTATGAGACCATGAGCCTCCTGTGCACAGACAGGCCCCATTCTACATATACACCAACATCAAAAAACACATTTAGAAGCTTTTTGTGGGGGTTTTCTGATAGATTGTGGTCATTTTGTGTCGTATGTATTCAGTGTCTGTCTAGCCTGCCTTTCCTTTGTATGGGAGCAAAATGACTGCAGATTTGGAAACCTTCTCTGAGACAGTATAATCGGAGTGTGTCCTCTTTTCCAATTCTGGGGATACGTTTCCCTAAATGTCGCGGGATGCCCTCCATGTCTTCTCTTGTCATGGATGAGAAGCGAGCGGTTCCGAGGGGTCACACAGTATTTCGTTGATCTCGCAGAATCTCGTGGCATTTTGAGGTGAAATAATGAATGCAGTCTGAGTTTCAAGGAGACCCCCGAGTGGAAGAGAGAGACACAAAACGTTTGGTAGAAAGGATGTCTGGAAAAAAGGTCAGTGGAGGTGTGGCGAGACTCAGTGGTGTGTGTGACAATGAGTCTGCAGCTGTCTTCAGGGGATGAAGGCGAGGGAGAGGACCAGGTGACCCGGAACAGCAGGGAAGTGAGGTGTAACGAAGAATTACTCCACCTGAATGGATGAGGCGTGTGTTTTGAACCACTTTTACCTCATTCACACCAACGGTGTTTCAGGGCCGGTTCGGAGCTGGAGCTTGAAAAGCACCGGGTTTTCCTGTTCACACCGCAGCGGAGCAACCTCTTAGCTCCGGAATCCGGTTCATTTTGAGCACCAAAAAATTGCCCGGCCAGAGCAAAAGCACCGCATACGTCACGCTTACGTCGAGGAGGGGGGGGTGGCAGGGGTGGGATCAACTCCTGAACAACAACAAAAAGCCGGCGTATTATCCAGTTTGTACACAACGATGGAGAAACTTGACAAGCAGCAGTGGTCCACTGAAGAGACCAGCTACTTACTGGGAATCTGGTCTTCCGAAGAGGTACAGAGGAAACTGGAGCACAATCGGCCATTGCTGTTGTTGTCGGTGTCAGCTGTGAGGGGTTTCCGCGCGGTTTGGCTTTATGAAGCAGGCACGCAAACGGTTACGCAATGACGCAATGACGCAGCACCAGTCGGACTCTGGGCAGTGTGAAAAGAGCCGGAGCTAAACCGAAGAACCGGCTCTGAACCTGAAAAGCTCTAGCACGGAGCTTGAACCGGAGTTGCGTTGGTCTGATCACACCAACGCAACTCCGGTGTGTGATGTATGGGGATTCCCCTTTTGGCAGCATGGCTTATATGTGGTTAGTGATGACTGTTGTAACCATGACCATCTGTGCTTTGACTCTCATGTGATTTAGAGGAGCCTATTCCCCACAGACACACAGCAGGATTAACCAAGGTCTCATTTATCACAGCGCCAGGGTTTGAGTCAGGTCTGTTACACAAATCATGCACGTATGCATTATAATGAACCAGGGTAATGTAGTGACCTCATCTACAGTGAGGCAGTCCATTACTCTCATCAAACGTAACCTCCATCTCTTTCACTTTTACACCTTTTTTGCATCACAGCTTGGCCTTTTCTTCTTCCTTAACACACAGAGAGGATAGAAAAAAGGGGGGGATGATGGACAGCTCCCCCCCACAAGACCTCCTAGAGCAATGATCGATGAGATAGCAGCCATGGCACAGACTGATGGGGTTTTGATACACTAGACTTCTATTTTAAAATTATTTTTTTATAATTTTGTGATTCTGTCATTCATCATACAGCAACCTTAACATTTTGACTGGAGTTACTGTGTGTGTGTGTGTGTGTGTGTGTGTGTGTGTGTGTGTGTGTGTGTGTGTGTGTGTGTGTGTGTGTGTGTGTGTGTGTGTGTGTGTGTGTGTGTGTGAATAGTTGGTTACTGCCTGTGTCACCGTAAACACGACCTGAACTACTGTGCATACATGACCGGCACAGAATCAACTATCTATGAGACCGATCATTGCATTAATTTACAGGTCATATATCTGACACTTTTTAACATAGAGACTTGTGTAAAATATCGCTTTTCAATACCGTAGACATTCCTACGGGAGCGATTTGATTTGGTTAAGTGTCTTGCCCAAGGATGATTCCACAGGCCTATTGTTGGCTGGGAATCCAACCAACAACCTTCTCATTGGTAGTCGCGTGTCCTCCCTGAGCCACAACCACCCATGATGAATACATATCTGGTAGTCATTTTAATATTTTATTTTTACTTTAAGGCTGTCATAGAAATATTAATTAACGGGAAAAAAAATTCAGCCTAATTTTAACAAAGCACCTCGTCCACCGTGTTTACTACTTGGAGAAGTAGATGATGTAGAAAATTAAATGAATATGGTTACATTTCTTACCATACTCTATTATTAGTTTCATACAGTGCAGCTAGCGGTGTGGGACTTGAAGTATGGAAATGTCAGTCCGCCTGTTGGTTGGTCCACCACACAACAAATATTAATTACAGTTTTAATGTCCCAATACCCAACACAGCATGTATAGTCAATGCTAACTGAAGTGACTTCACCAAAATCATGACACAGCACAATGTAATTCTTCTATTGGGAGTTTTTTATTTATTTCCTTTAACCATGTGGGAACACCTCCCAATTAGGGTCCACAAGATATTGCAGTCCTCCTAAAACCTTTACAGCACTCAGGAGATCGTCACACTTGAAAAGTTCTGGTTTTCAGCTTTTGCAGGAGGACATTGTAGACTTAGAAAGAGTACAAAGCAGATTGGGGAACGGTTCAAATTGCAGAGGGATGTGCACTTCAAAGGGCCTGTGATTTCAGTGTTCAGAAGCAAACAAGATCAAATAAAAGAGCAGGACATTAGCACCAAACAAACACTTATTAAAGACTCCTAAGGGTGTCAGAACGGCTGTGGTCCTTTTTGAGGTCTCCTGAGCTCATATCTGAAGTAGTTGTTTGTGTTATTGACATAAAAGAAGTTGAATTCTAAGACCCCATCCAGCAACACATTTAGTTTACAGCCATTTAACGGTAGTATAAAGCAAACCAAAAACTAACCTACGAAAACACAAACATGTAAACACCACATGAAAAAGACCCCATTTTGCCTAATGTGAATTCATGTATTTCTTTGTGTTGCTTGTTTATGATGCATTTCAATATATTTGACCTACATAAAAGGAAATGAATGCATGTGTATCCACGTGGGAGCGTTATTAATTAGGAAGACTCAAACTTACACATGTTCTGTTTATTCGTATCGGGTAAATCTGGCTTTGATCAGTAACTAACAGTACTTACACAGTTTGATTATTTACACTACAAATAGATCCAAGTAATTGCAATGTCTTGAACATCTTTGAATTGAAATGGAACAATGTGATATTGACTTTGAGTATTGAGTTGACTTGAGATGATTAACCCCTTCATTTGTTTGTCTTTCTTTTGCCCGCAGTTAAAGAGTCAGCTCCAAAGTGTCTTCCTCATGATCAACTATGACACCAAGCAGTAAGTCTTCCTGCAACTAACATCTGTCTGGTTTTTCCACTCTCATACTGAACCTGACCCACAGCACATGTAATGTTACCACTTTATTCTCTCATGGTGCTCCTTGACATGTTGTGCTGAAGTGTCAAATCAGTGACCAGAAACAAAGACAGAAAGTCTCTGATGAAAGAAAGCATGTTTGCAGGCCATTCTGTCTGAACTTTTTGTGAGTTTGAAGTCACAAGCTTTCAAATGTAGCTTCAGACTGCTGGAGATGATCACCATTTAGCTTTTAGAGGTGAATGGGAGCAGAAAGTAGAGTTCTCTGGAGGCAATTAGCTTACACTTTCAAGACCTTCTGCCGCACAATAGCTCTGTCTCCTGTGGATATTTCCATTAATTGCCTACTCGGATGTAACTTTGCATTTGTCATAAAGTAGGAAATGGCATCAGAAGCGTTTCAAACTCTTTTTGAAAGCATTGCTCAACACTAACAGCTTCAGATACAATAAGTTGAAATGGGTCTTTCACAAGCAGAAATGAGTTCAAACTCTTTTCTCCAGATGCTTCATTTATAAAATAATATGACAACCCAAATCTATTTTGAAGGGGGGGTTATGCGAGAAAGTCAGCAGCAAAATACACATTAAAAAAAATGGTCTAAATCGAATCTAAATGAGAAAATGTTTTTATAATGAGAATCATTTGTTGAACATGTGGTTTAAATAAAGTAATATTCTGTAGTGGTAGTATAAATACATTTAGACTAGCAGTAAAACACTTCATTCCACATATTACAATGTCCATGTGTATGATTGTAACCCCTACACATGTTTGACTCTGAAAAGACCATGTAAGCATATTACGTTAAATTGTTAAACAGGTTCTTTTTGCACCTGTGATTCCCTGAGTGGCAGTCAGCCATTTATTCTCAATGGTGGGAGGGCTTGATAAAAATGTATGGATTTCAAAAGATGAACAGGAAAAGAGGTGAGCAGAGGACATAGAGAGTCATCAACAGTGTGTCGAGGGAAGACTGGAGTGAGATCCCTTATGACAGAGATGACAAAAGACTGGCAGCTGTCCTCAATCTGACATCTACAGTGCTCTACACATCCAGCAGTGTGAATCCTTAAAAAGCAGCCGGAGGAGTGAAAGCAGAGGAAGTTAAGAGGCAGCAGAGAGAGGGCAGGATGTCGCGCAGAAAGGCTGTCTCGTGAAACTTTAGATTTCACTGTCAGAGGAAGCATCAGTGTTTCACAGGCTGACGTTCTGAGCTAAACTTGACACAATCACCATGGCTGATTTTCCTCGGCATTTCCCTCCACACTCTTCTGCACTGGCTGTAATTTAAAGATCCAAAAAAAGCATGTCCAGCGTCTAAATATGTAAATATTTAGATGCGTGTGTGCTTTGGGTTAGGCCCAGGGCGCTCTCCGCTCTGTCTCCATTCCCATTAGAGGTGCGTTCTGCTCTGCGGCAGCCCAGAGGATTTGAATGGCACAGGCTCAGGGTAATGGGAACATGGGGATACAGATTGGCAGGATGCTTTTTTGAACTGCCAGTTCCATCATCAGGAGTAGCAGCACTGCATACTTTTTCTTTTATATCACTTCTATATTTGTATGCTCTCTTTTTTTGCTAATGTTGAGAAAGCACAGGGCCACAGATTCCCCTGGAGGTCACATGGCAGAAAATACATCTTGGTGCTGAAATCATGCACTCAAACCGACCTCCTCACAGCAGGCTGACATTACATGGAAAAGCACTGGGGGGATGAGTATTATCAATAATGCAGCCAATAATGTATTAATTACAGCTGCTTATCAGTTAGTAAGACTTACCATGTAAGCAGCTGACCTTGACAAAGAACTCAAAAACACATTCAACATTTTTCCTGTTTAGCAGTGAGTTAGATAGGCAGTTAGCTTCAACCACTTTAAAGGTTTCAACCACATATATCTTGTCGGTCCACAAATTCAATTTATATTCAGGAATGCATCACATAATGTTTGATGAGACCTTCCCACTCGAAAGCACATTTGCGTCATAACTTGAATATAGTGTACATACTGCAAATAAAATACCGCTTTGACTAAAAGTGTGTTTAAAATGTAGTTTATTGTTCTATTTGTATAATGGCTTCTGGGAGTGTTGATGCACTCCCCCTTTCACCTCACATGCAAATGTACTGCTACTTTATCATGGTCGTAAACATCCTCAAGGGAACAGTGGTTTTAATGCAATGCTCACTTAACCCTTGTGTGGTGTTCATATTTGTGTTAGTCAGTCAGTGTTCGTGGGTCTGGTGGACCCGCTGCCTTTTTGGGCTTCAATTCAACACAATCAAACTATTTTATGTTAAAATACTCAACAGATGTTTACTTCATCCCAATTACACGCAATATAAACAGCGTATATGGTTAATATTTGCCCTTTTACATTTGTTAGATCACATTAATGAATTAAAGTGCTACTTGTTGTTTGGCCCGCTGACCGGCTGGTCCTGTGGCTCGTCTAGCTGATGCTCAATCTCATCCTCTTCCTCAAAGTCACTGTCAGACTCAGAAATATGATCCTCACATTCTGAAACCTCTTCCTCTACATCATCATCAAATGGTTCTCTCTCTTCCAAAATCATTCGCAAGGCCCTCTGAGCAGAGAATCTTTTGGCCATCTTAATCAGTTGTGATAAGGACCCAAACTGGCGAAGCTTTATTTATTGTGTCTTGCCCCAGATTTGCAGCTTGGATAGAATTTGAAAAAAATAAAGATTGGTTCCCGCAAGACATAATGCAGGAATGTGAGAGCAGACAGGTGTCCCTGCTCGAATTTATCAACAATGTTGCAACCTTGTGCAGGAATGGCAGACACACACACGCACACACACACACACACACACACACACACACACACACACACACACACACACACACACACAATTTCCACACTTTTGTTAGCCCCGAACATCCTGTATGTAATGTAAATGTGTAAGGGGGGGTGTACAGTGGGTGGTCATTGAAAATGTGTTCTGATATATATGTTCTTCACAGAAAATGAGCCAAGGCCATTGAGTTTGGGTTTGAAAAAATAATTTCTCTTATCATTTTTCTTTAGCTAAATAATGCAAACGGGTCCCACAGACCCGAACACCATACAAGGGTTAAGAGCAAATACTGCACAGCCGTAAAAACAGGAATCAGAATAGGATAGCTTTCTGTCTCCCTGGGAATTATCAGCAAGGTTCTTGGCAAGGCTGCTTCAGACTTGGGATAGGTTTGATGAAACATCTCATTTTATAGTACAAAGAGTGTTTTATATGTCTTTGCTTTGCTTTCTTTTTCCTGTTAGGATGCCAGACACAGTTAAACAGAAGAATGCCTTCCCTCCAAACTTCATCCACTCTCTGGACTCCACACACATGATGCTGACTTCTCTCCACTGCTACAGGTATCATTTAAAGGCACCCTATTATACTCATTTTCAGGATCATATCTGTATTTTGTGCCTCCACTTTGACATTTCTCCATTCTTTAAAGGTGGGGTAGGTAAGTTTGAGAAACCGGCTCGAGATACACTTTTTGTTATATTCCATGGAATGCTCTTAACATCCCGATAGCAATGAATATCTGAAGTGCTTTGACAAGAAATCTGTGGAAGCCGTAGTACTGTAAAAAGCACGACCAATCATCTGAGCCGGCCCGGCTAAAGTAACTGGATGGCCTACCTGCCTGTCAGCCTTCCATCTGTGCACAAACTCATCTCGTGCCCTCATTGGTCTATGTGCGCGTTGGTGTGTGTTGGAGGAGGGGCTCTGTAAGGAAGTGGCAGATTTTTTCCGGCTGTGTATTTTCTCAAATTCTAGAGCACTCGAGCTGGTTTCTCCAAAATGACCTACCCCACCTTTTAATGTTTAAAAAGTTCTTTATTTTTCTCATACTGACTGATCTGCAGCACCTCTTTTCACCCTCTGTCTGAAACCAAGTTCAATGTGTTGGAGCGCTAGCCAATAGAAACGTGAGTGTTAAATAGTAATGTCATTATGTTACAGAAGTAAACAAACAAGCCCAATGGAGGCGTTTCAGATGAGGAGGGGATGTGTGGAAGAGAAACTTTGGGATTTTAAACTTTGCAGACCATTTACATGCACAACACCCTATATAACACACTACGGGAAAGGGAAAAACCCCCAACCCTAAATACGGCCCCTTTAACAAACTGTTCTTAGAGCATGGATATCTGGTACACCTTTTTGCCTATTCTTATTAGTCCGTCTTCTATACTGTAGGCAGTCTCTAATTTGCTTTTGACCTTGACTTAAATATAAGCTTGACCTTAAATGGCTTAGAAAATGTACCCTCTCATCTTGAATGCAATTATCACCTCAGATAAGTGTATGATGCGGCTTTATAAATATATGCTGTGCGCCTCTCGACAGGTGTGATAACTCAACTCACGCTGGCTTTAAATGAACATAGCAGGGTTTTTAGCAATTACCGTCACTGTAATACAGTCTTCTTCTTTTGAATGACTCTATTCCCCCTCATATGTTCTCCCTCTTAAGTAAACCCCTGCATGCAGACTCTGATAATCCCTTGTTCTCTCTCTTATCCTTTTAGTGCTGGCCTGGCGTTCGTCTCAGTTCACGACTGTTTTTGGACCCACGCCCTCACAGTGGACACCATGAACAAGGTATGAAATTCATTTTGACTCTGAGCTGTTTAATCCTGTCTGATCACGCATTATCAGAGTTTATAATTCTCTTTTTTTTTTTTATTAATTGAAGCTTAAGGTGGAAAAAGTGATTCAAGTCTCCTGGGTCTCTCTTGCTTTTACCTCCAGACTTTCCTTTTTGTAGCATCACTAGTGATTCTGCTAAGGTAGAGCTTTGTGAAGCTAAATGGGTACAGGCTGCTGGGTGCAGGAAGCACCACCAGAGCCTGTTGCGCTGAATAAATGACCGTCTGCCCCTGCCTGCTGAAACTAGTTTGTCATGAGGCCCTGACGGAGACACAGCGTAGCATTTAAATTGATCAAATGACCATAAAGTTGCCAGTCCTCTTTAACCGTAGCTTTAGAGAACAGTCCCAGCTTTAGGTCTTCATCCAATCTCAGAGGAGTAACAACCAATGAAGCGATCCCCTCTCAGTACATTTATTCTCCCTCATATTCTCTCGATGTGTGACGCTTTCCTCATTACACAGGTAATTGAACACAGCGGCAGAGGAGGGGGATTCAATGTCTTAGTCAACACCGAAGCCCATTCAGAAAGTCCTTATTTTAAAGGCTACTGATCTTTCCTTCATCCTTCATTCGCCCTTTCTGAACCACCCAGCAGGGTTCCTGCGTGACGTCATTGGGAGATTTGTTCACACATGTGGGAAGAAAAATAAATCAGAACGACTTGAGAGCTTGTTTTCTTTCTTTTGATAATCCTCTGTGGCTGATAAATAACACTCCGGTGACAGAAAATGTGTTTCCATCCATTTTTATTATGCATTTCCCACTTGCTTTAAAGCTTTGATGGCAAAGCTGGTTTATCAATCATATCGAAAATTCCACAATTCAAACGGAAATCTCGACAAACATGAAAAATAGTGAGGACAAAAAATACCAGATTGATGATGCGACTTCCTTTAAATAAATACATGAAGCTAAATGGCATATTCCCATCATTAAACTTATTATATATTTGGTGACGAACAGCAGGAAGTTCAAACTGTATGTGCTAACATGTTGTTATGCTTACATTTCTTGTGTCTGTTCAATGTGTAAAGTTAGCTAGCCAGCGCCACCAGATGTGCAGAATACCAATCCAGACGTGTTCCTCACTTATAAATACTCCAAATGTCTTTCTCATTGTGGCAACATGTTTTCTAACACCTGCTGAGGGATGATTTTGAGATCCTGCAACCAGCAGAGAAATGATAGCTCTTCTTTTTCCCCACTGTCAGCAATATCATTCAAATCAACACTTTACCCGGCATTTAACATTCTACGTTTTTTTCTTCGCAGAGCATAGTTCTCTGTGTTCACATACTTTAATAAAGAATGTCAAAGATACACAGGCAAGGCCGAGTTGTTTTGAGCTTGTCGATTCGGTTTTTGGGGTACGAATAATAAAAAAAACTCTGTGACTCCCTCTTCCCGTTAGATCTGTCGGGAACAGTTTGTCGCCCTGCACAGCCAGCCAATCCTGCAGGAGCTGTCCAACTACCTTTACCAGAAATACTGCACTGGGATCCCGTGAGTTTACACACCAGGAACACCTTTGATTGTGCCCTCTCACCCTCACACACACATGCAGTTCCTCTCAGTCTCAGGAGCAACACTGTGGCCGGTTATCCATCAGGGTAATGGTGTCAAAAATCGGGGTTTTTCGCAGCAGATCCAATTTAGGAACAAATTATTATCAGAGTTTCTTCGTTTCAGCTTAATATAATTTAATATTCACATGTTTCTTTTCATACTTAGTTACCAACAACTGCATTCTGTGCTTCCTCTGATTTCTTTTGTTCGTACACAACAACCTTCAGAGCCTTCAGACTCTCTGTCTGTGTTTATGCAACACCGTAGGATCTCTATGGACTTGTATGGTATAGTCAACAGCCACGATACACTGAACATGCACGTCCCACAAGTACATACGTTAGAAACACATTCCACACTAAAGGAACACACACACATAAGAGGTTATTAGATATTGTCAAAGTTGTACTAACATGCCAGATGTGTTCCTCTACTTGTCTGTGACATTAGATACAAAATGACTTTCCCTCTCTCTCTCTTTCTCCATTCATCTGTCTCGCTGGCCTCGGGCTAGGTTATGCTCATCATCTGATTCTGTGTTTCTCTCTCCTGGATAATTGGACACCTTTTTCTATAGCCTTCCACAGCAGCTCCCTTACTATTTGTCTTACTCCCTCCCTCTACCTCTCATAAGTTTGACTGAACTAGCAGTGGGAAAAGTTTCATTTGGTTTTATCATCCTGCAGGCAGAACAGTGAGTGGTGAAACATTTAAATAGCCATTTGCCAGTGTCCTTATCACGTTTCACACAGTAACAGGTATGTTTTTCCACCTTTGGAAGAACTGATAATGTGCTGAAGTCAGACTCACTGTACGGACTCTGATCTCAAAAACAACTCGCATCTTATATCCTGTGAAGGTTGAATATAATCAGTCTGAGAACCGATGAAGACATTTAAATGACGACTAAAACTTCCGGAGAAAACCCAGGAAGTGCACGACTCTTTGACTTTGAACACAAACTTTGTCTTTCTCAGAGTTACTGAACTTTTTTCCTCTTTTGTGGCAGGCTGGAAGCCAAGAGGAAGAAGACCGAGGAATACTTGGAGCTGAGTCTGTGTCTGGCCACAGTGCCCCAGACAGGTGTGTGTGTGTGTGTGTGTGTGTGTGTGTGTGTGTGTGTGTGTGTGTGTGTGTGTGTGTGTGTGTGTGTGTGTGTGTGTGTGTGTGTGTGTGG